GTACGGCTATGGGTTGGGCTCCAAGCCTACGGCGCCCCCGCACGGCCGAGCCCACATCCGCATCCACACACGCAAGCCTTCGCTTTCGCCGCCGCCGCGCCGCCGCCGCGCCTTGCCAGCTGTCGGTCCCCCCCGGCCGTGGCGCTGCGCCTCCACCCGGACCTCCGACGGCCTCGGTGTTCGCGGGAGCGGCCTCGGCTCAGGCCCCAGCGCCAGGGACGGCGTCGGGGCCGGGCTCGGGACCCGCAGGCCTTCCCGCCTTCCTGGGCGCAGAGCTGGGCTGCGCCAAAGCCTTCTACCCCGCGTCCCTGAGCCCTCCCGCAGCCGGCACCGCGACCGGTCTATCCACCGCACTCCTGCGCCAGGGCCTCAAGACAGACGCGGGCGGTGGTGCGGGCGGCGGGGGCGCCGGGGCTGGGCAGAGGCCTTCCTTCTCTATAGACCACATCATGGGCCACGGTGGCGGCGGGACTGCACCTCCGGGCGGAGGCGAGGGCTCGCCGGGATCGCCGTTCGCGGCGGCGGCGGGTCCTGGAGGTCAAGCCCAAGTCTTGGCCATGCTGACTGCGCCTGCCTTGGCTCCAGTGGCTGGCCACATCCGCCTCTCGCACCCCGGGGAAGCCCTCCTGTCCTCAGGGCCCCCATTTGCCGGCAAAGTTGCCGGTCTCAGCGGCTGCCACTTCTGACCGGGCCGGGCTCAGGGCCACTTGGGCCCGCACTCAGCCTCTCCCGGCAGCTCCTGCGGTCCCCGCGGAACTCAGGGAGTCTATGCGTGAAGAGTCTCCAGACCTTGGGCCGGCGCGCGCGACTTGGCTCTGCGTTCAGAATATCGGCGATGGTTGGGACCAAGCGGGCTCCATCGCTCAGGGAGAGCCCGGGTCTCCGCGACGAGGTCGCAAGCTTTGATTCCATTCCAGTTTGAGCAGCAAGAGGGGAATGGGGGGAGCCTTCGCTTTTCCCTGGCCTCTGCGCCTCTGGCAGCCCCGGAAGAAGGCTTTCCCGGTGCCTTCCCAGGCCATGCGGATCCCGCCAGAAACACCAACCGCGCAGAGAGGTCTTCTCTCTGTATCTCCTTCAGTCCTTCCCCGACTTTGAGATCTTGCTTGTCCAATATTATAATTTAAAGACACCTATTATCTGCTTCGTACTTAAAAGAAAAAATTCAACTCTTTTCCTTGCTATTCTCCCAGGAAGTTCGTTCTCGCCGAAGCCCAAAGCTGTGTCTACACAGGTGAAGCTGAGCAGAGAGCAGAAGCGAGGTGTCTCCAAAATCCCTTTGGAAACCCTGGATCCCACTCCACAGGGGAGCATCCTTCCCCTTTTGTGTTGGGGTGCCTTTGAAGGAACAGTTCCCCTTCCCCAGAGCTGGCTGGGTCCCGCCAACCAGGGCCAGCCACCCCGTCAGCGTTCTACTCTGTCCCAGGCCCTGGGATATTTATTATCGCTAAAGGCAATGAGTTTAGGGTGGGAGAGGAGGGTCTGGGTCAGGGACTGGAGAAGTGGGGGTGGGGTGGGTGAGGGCACATCCTGTGGCAGGGGGTCCTGTAATTATGTGTAAATATCTGTACAGCCGGCTGCTATCTGCGTTCTCTGTCCACTGGGTGTGCATTGATTTAGACTTCTCCACTGTGGGGAGACTGTGAAATCCTCTGATGGTTTGTGTGGAAGAAAAGAAAAACCTGTCTCCCTTTCCTCCCCATTGGTGTCAATTGAATAAATGTATGTGAACTCCAGCAGTCACCAGCTCTGTCTGCTTGCCTGCACTCCCCTTTTTACGTAGCCAGGGTTCTCCCAGAAGCCCCCCCACCCCCCACCAGCTTCCAGGCGGGCAGAGGTGGACTGAGGAAGGGTCCTGGGCAGCCCAGGCAGGCAGAAGAGGGCTTGGGCTATTGGGTGTGGGGGAAACTATGGCCTTGGCCTTTGCTGTTAATGGGCCAGGACTCTGGGAGGCCTGTGACCCCTCCAGCGCTTTCATTTTCGCTCTGGTCCAGGAGGGTTTCTGCAGAGAGGTTTTGTTTCAAATGCACCTGGGGAATCTCATCTTCTCTGAGTTCAGACTTTAGCGTTGGGCAGGTCTGAGTGCCCAGTACTCATGGACACTGTACTCATTAAGTACAGTTTCAGTGTCTGTGTCTCTTGATGCATTTTCTGCGTGCTTCTATGTGTGGGGACTTTTAAGGAGCTTGTGATCTGTGTTTTGTTGTCCTTTTTAGGGGAGATGGGTTGTACTTCAGGATATCTGTGTTTTAATTTATATGTGTGACCATGAACGTGTGTCTGTGGTCTTCTGTCACTGTCTATTTCTATGTCCCTAGAAGGAGAGAGGTTTCTGATGCCACTGTAGCGCCTTCCTTGATCCACCCACATAATAGAGTGAATGGCTTGAAAAGAGAAACTCCTCTCTTTCCCAGTCCGAGGGGATTAGAGGTGTGCGATGTGGTAGAGAGTCAGTGTGGTCATATTCTGTTAGGGAAAACCTCCTCAATCCTTGACCCATGACTATAGCTGGAACCTATTGCTTGAGTGCAAAGCCATTGCGCGTAGGCTAGTGTCTTCCATAAGCCATCTGAGCCTCCAGTTCACTGCCTGCGCCTGGGACTCCCTGTGGCCAGACTGGCAAAGCATGTTGGGTTAGAGGAGATGCGTTTGTAGGTCTTTTCTCTTACATTCAACTAAGGTCAGAGGCGAGAAGGAGTGACATGGAGGTGCAAAAGAGGAAGTTCAGCCTTCACAGAAAATAGACACATGCAGAGGGAGAGGGTTTGCAGACAAGTGACAGACAGAGAAGGAAGAAGACAGATGGAGAGGAGTTGAGAGGGGCAGGCAGGGAGAAGCCATACAGGTCTCTTTAACCAGATTCCTTGGCACTGACAATAGTAGGGAAGAAGGAGGAGAAAGTGGACAGTGCCCTATAGAAGGGGGTCAGGGTGGGAAGACTGCACAGGGCTGAGGGAGAGTGGTTGGGACTGCTAAGTCTCAGCCGCTTCCCCAGTGGAGGAGAGACAAGGTCCCAGGTACATCTGGTAAATGCAGCCCCACTGCTAGAGCTGAGGTGCCCTCTTCTTCATCTTGTTGAGAGACTGAGAAGTGGAGGGAAAATGAGTGCATGCAGTGGGCCATCTCCCCATGATTTTATCAAGCAGTCCAGGAGAAGTAAGGTTAAACTCAATGGTCACAAGAGGGGCTGACTATGGATACCTGGATACCCCTGGCTGGCTGCTTGGTTGATTTCCATTGCTGAGTTTCATTTCATTTCTTTTCACTTGAGGAAGGTTGAACATGACCGTGTGTTTGCCCACAATAAAGCACTTTGTGGCTCACACGATCCCGTTTACCATGAATAGGTCACTTCCAGATATTAGTTTGGAGCTTCAAGTAAAAGTTTTATCAATTGGTGTTTCCTCTCTAGAAGAGAGAAAATCAAGTCAGCCAGAATTCATATATGATGATGGATAGATGAGATACTTCCACAACTGCTTTTCCAAAAGAAGCAGCAAATCCAGTTTCCTCAATTTGTCTTTGTGAAAGTGTGTGTGAATTTATCTGAGTGTATTGCTTGGTGTCAGAGGGTCCATCCATATCAGGAAAAGGCAGAGATAAGAGGATTGGGGATGAGTGAGACACACCCTTTCAGGGGCTTCTGTGGAGCTTGGGACCTCAGACCCATGACTCAACCCGAGTTTCCCAGAAGGCCAAGTACAGGCCAGATATAATGGCTGAGTACCGGGGTCCAGAAAGAAGCCACCTGTGTCCAACTGGCCTTGACAAACATCAGAAAAAGATTGCTGAGCGATCTGTGGGCTGAAGGCAGGAGAGAAGGAGGGTGTTTTGAATCTGGGACCGCTTTGGGTTGTGTGGGCCAGAAACTTGTTAATTAGAAGATGGCAAGGACCCACCAGGGACCTGGACTGTGAGGAGAAGCAAGGAGAAGAATGAGGGAATTGCAGATTTGTCTGGTAGCGTCCTCAGGCTCCCCACCCCCTCCAGGCCAGACTGGCTGGTAAGTGGCTCCCTCCCAGCCTGTGGGTGCACAGGTTGGGTGTTCAGTGAAGGCCAGCCTTCCGGGAGGAGAAATAGGCCATCCCACTTCCAGTGGCTCCTGTAGCTTCCCCCCACTGTCTGGGTGGAGACAGCTGAGCCGCTGCCCCGGTAGACCCCAACAATCGGTGACAATAATAAGAAAATATCCAGGGAACACCTTCATCTCTCGAGGTGAGAAAAAAAATGCTAAGAAATCAGCTTGGGGGGTTCACAGAGTGCTGCCGAGCGGGCAGTTTAAAGGGGAAGAAAATTGGCGAATTTCACTGGTCAATTTCACTTCATTTCGTTCAATTTCGTTCAATTTCATTCCTTTTCATCCTGCGCCGGGGAGGCCCCAGGCCACAAGGAAGGGGAGGGGGTCTTTCCGGGCAGAATTTCCCCCATCCTGCAGGTTTACTTTCTATGGCCGAGAATAGCCTTGGTTCTCAAACGTTGATATTCTTTCAGTTACGGCGAAGGGCAGTTGTTTTATTTTATTTTAGTGAAGGATATCTGGTTGGGGTGATGGAGGCACACCGGTGAGCCTCTTCTTCCCCCTTCTCTCTTGCAGCCCAATTAAAGCGGTGAATTCTTTTCACCGCCGATTCTTCCCCATCTTTCTTTCTCCCGGGGCACCCCGGACCACCCAGGAGCGGGAGTCGAGGTGGGGGCGGACACTTCCCCTCCAGATCCAATTTGTTCTCGCCACAGCAGGCGCGTCTTCGTGGTTACAAAGCGCTTTTTCCCTGATGACTTTTTTCCCCTTTTCAAAAACACTTCACTCTCTCCCCTTCAGCGAGCAACCCTCCCCAGGCCCGCCCCTCCTCCTTCTCCCCTCGGGTTTATTTAAACTTCGCCTCCTCCAGCACCGCCGCAGCGCGCACTTAATGAAGTTGAAGGCTCGGTGAGCCCGGGTGAAGAGGGGTTGGAATCTGTTGAAAGGGGCGTTTTGTGACACTGATTGCGGCGGGGGTGGGAGCGGTCGCGGACCAGACAATGACCGATCAGTGGGGTTTTCCACCGCGTCGGGTTAGGCGAATAAAGGCGCCGACGCTGTTTAAACGAGGGACCTTGCAGAAGAAAGGGAGGAAAGATTTCGAGTGTGGAGCGTGCCTCATAGGATTTTGAGCTTAGGAGGCGATGGGAGGAGGCAGCTCGCGTAGGGTCTTTACGGACCGGGTTCGGAATTTCTCTTGCATCCGGCCCAAGAGAAGCGAGGAGGGTTTGGGTTTGCGCCTAAATGACTTGGATACGTGGTTCAAAAGGTTGCGTAGGCTGGGACCTGGAGATGCGTCCAGGAGGACCATCCAGAAGGATGAGACCCAGCTGACATTTGTCCTGGGGGCTGGCGATTTCTAGAGAAACGGTGGGCAGAGGTAGCGCAGGATACTTAAGCCTCCTAAGCTTTTTGTCTATCGGGGCACCTGAGAGCAAAACAAATGTTAATTGGAGATTTGGAGAGGAATTATTCTGTTCTTAAGGTCGGCATAGACACGTATCAACATAAAACTGTAAGGGGGACAGAGGTTCCCAGCTCCGGTTTCGAGAATGATTTTTTCCGCCAGTTGGTGGGCGCGGCGCGGGGCGGAGCGGGCACCGCCTCCTGTCGTAGCGGAGCGAGCCTGGCGGCGGGAGGCTGCGGCGCGGCGGAGGCCGGAGGCTTCGAGGCTTCGGCAGCTGCGAAGGAAGGGACCTCTCTGGAGTCTGCGCCCCCGGGCTGGACAGGGCGCCGATGCCCTCGGGCTGTTGCCGACACTCTCGGAGCCCAGCGCCCAGCTCCGAGTCCCGGGTCTGCGGAGCGCTCCCTTTTCGCTCCACGCGGACTCAGCGGAAGTCGCTCGCCGGCCGGGCCTTTACCTCTCTGGGTGCCGCAGGGGTCTGCGCCGGGTGTCCTCCCCAAGGTCACGCCAGCCTCCTCGCGGTAATTTCGTCTTCCTGGAGGTGGTGGACAGGCTCTAGGGCTTGACCTCCTCCCCCTGACCCCCTTTCGGCCCCCTCCGCAGCCCAGCTCCCAGGCCGCGCGCAGCTCCGGGCCGGGGCGCAGCAGACCCGGGACCACGGCGGCAGGCTGTGCGCGCCGAGCTGCTGCTACAGGGGTCCCGCGCGTTTTGTCGTGGGGAGTTGGGGCCTTCGCGCTCGTTTCCCGAAGATGGAAAATCGCCTCAGGCTGGTCTCACCTTCGGGGCATTTCTGTCTGTCCATGTGCAGTTAGAAGTATATTTGGAATTGCGGTTGCACGGATCTTGGGACTGAAAGGAACGAATTATGGAGGGGGGGGGGGTGCGCGCAAAACATTTAAATTCGTCTCTTTGACCCGTAAAAATCACGGAGGCCCTGAAAAGTGTATTTCAAATGATTTGTGTTGACACTGCCAGTGTCCGCGTGCGTGTGTGTGTGTGTGTGTGTGTGTGTGTGAGGGCGGGTACGGGAGTGGGGCTT